TCATCCATCCGCTGGTGACGGGGGGACGGGGGGACGGGGGGGGAGGTATAGACAAATGCTGCAGAGGTTTGCACAAATCAATTTCTCAGGCTTTTTCCACATTTCACTGGAGGAGACATGGGTGGAGTCCATATTGATGTGTTCAGTTTGAGACTGGCTGCTCTCAACTTTTCAAATCTGTTGCAGCAATGGCTTTGGGGAACGTTTGTTTTCATATGAAAGATCATGAATAATTTTGCATTTATATCCATCGTGCTATGATATGTGAAAAGCACTAAATAGAAAATCTAAGAGCTCAGAGTGTGTGTTCCTTTGTGTTGTGGCTGTGTTAACATGGAAGTATTTGCTTATGTGTGTTTGTGTATTTATAAAAACGGGGCCCCTTTACAGTTTGTATATATAGGTACAAATGCAATCATTTCGAATAAATATGTACATATGTGGAGATTTGCATTGATTGCAACACAATGTGAATGCATCAATACGGAATGTTATCACAAGCCCTGAGAGCTAAACAAGCCTCCCCTGACAGAAAAGCCAACATCCCTCCAACTTTCCCTCACTAGCTTGCCTGATAGGTATCAAAATGGGCTGAAGTAATGGGAGACAGCACAGGCGGAGACGCTGCCAACAGCCAGAGGGTCCGGGGTGCAGCGAGCGGTGCCCATGCGACAGATGGACGTTGTCTCTGTACAGATTAATGTGCTCGCTGGCCTGGGCTTCAGTAGCTGCAGCAATGAAGGAGTTCACAAAAGAGTTCTGGATATTTGTTCCTTCTCCAAAACAGGTGTTCCACTTGTTTGGGCCCCTCATTTCCCCACAGTTTGTATAACTAGATAATGTAGCCAAGCAAATTTAGAGTGGAAGTCCACCTCATCACATCCTACCAGAAATATATACTACATAGCCTAAGGTACTGCAGGTGGAGGTGGAGGAAGTATTCAGCTATTTTACGTAATTAAAAGTAGCAGTACTACAGTGTAACAATACTCTGTTACAAGTAAAAGTATTGCATTCAAAATCTCATTCATGTAAAAGTATAAGCATCACAATATGCTTAAAGTGGCAAAAGTAAAAGTACTCATAATGTATTATGGCCCATTTAAGAACAAGTTTTATTTAAATATTGGTGTTTAATTATTGAAGGATTGGTTTAGCTATAAAACGTTTCAAGTCAAACCTTCTGTATTCATAAATTTACCATGAATTGTAATGGAGTACTGCGACAGAAAAACACAGTTGAATTCAAGGTCAAACTTATTTATAGAACCTTTCAACAAAATCACTAAAAGCTTTACAAAGCAACAAATGACATAAACAACTGCTTACATTATGCATGTGGTTTTAACAAATCAAATGTGTCCTCAGTGCTTTGCCCGTGTGGCGCACACACCAACTTTTTCATGTCCCTACTTATTTTCTTCTGGTTTACATGCCACACTGCTCTCATATTTGCTCAGCAAGAAGAGCCCGGGGAGGCCCTCTATTAAGTATATAAAACAGGACAAATCAATATGCATTCTTCTACCAGCGGCGCTCCTCGATCACAGCATGGTGACACGGGGAGAGCGGGAGAGCCAACCAGGACGACCGAACTAATAGGCGTCAAAGCCAAGTGACAATGAGGCTTATCTGTGGTGAGCAATATTTCCTGTGCATCCCCAAAGATCTGGCTGGACAGTTTGTGTTATCCCTCCCTCCAGATAAACCTCATCTCCCACACACAGAGCCTATACTGTATGTCACATCCAGCTATAAGCGCTGTCCCTTAATAGCAACCATGACAGCCAACCTCCCGACTGGGAAAACAACAGTACTTTTTGTTTCATAGCCCACCTAATACTCAGATGACACACATTCCCTGTCGCTGCTCAGACTTGTTCATAGGTTTTATCCCATCTTTAAAGGTCCCTTCTTGCCCCTCTGAGATTAGTGGCGGGTAAAGATGAAAAATTGCGTTTTCTGCACAGTGACATCTAATCTGTTTGGCGAGCTTTAATTTCCCTCGACGATGGAAACGCTGGTGGGCCACAAGCTCACGACAGACATACTTTTGTCAAAAGGACATGGTTGACACCATAGGAGAACATTTTCTTAGCCGATAGTCTGTAAACATTCATTGATTATTTTAAAAATAAATGCTTTTGGATCCCAATTTTCAAACTATGTACAGTTTCCATTATGTAAAATGTCAGTACAGCAATCCCAATTCAGTATCAGGTTAGAAAGTGGCTGATTGGGTATGTCTTGCTAAAATGGAGTAAACAGCCTATCACAGATAGTCCCCCATGAAATTGTTGCATAAGTCAGGATGAGGAATATTTATTTTAACTAAAACATTACTTTCCGGGCTTCTCTAAAATATTAGTGCAGCAATGAAAACACTTTAGCTGTGCGGTTGCTATTTGTCTACAAAAAAGAGAGGCTATTTTTCATCTTGACAGGTGTAATGTGGCCATGTTACTGACGTAATGTGCAAGTACGATGAGTAACACAGGAGTTTCTTATTGGCCTCAACATTTTGTGCGAAAAGGCTGTCATTTAGGTACACATTAAATTACTGTGTTTGACATTTTGATGTGGAAGTTGAGTCCCTCGTCCCCATTTGCCCCCCCAAGAGTAATCTTTCAATTTCATGAAATCAGAATGACGTTGTCAAATCGCCGTCTTGTCTCCAGATCCATCGCTCTCTGTTTCATGTGGCAAGAGCCCACTGCACCTCTGAGGGGAAGATTGAGTAATAGATAGGAGGAAAGAGGGATGGAGGGAGGCATGGAGAGGGGGGGCTAGTGGAGGGGTAGTTGAGTGAATCTGATCTTAATTTTCTACCACTTTGACATGTGTCACGGCTGTGATTACATAACAATGATGACCAGCAGAGTTCACCGCCGGGCGGCTGCGATATGTGCCTGATAAATATACTCAGGGGCTTCGAGGCACGCACGCAACAAGCTGCGTTAAAGGCCAGCGTCACATCAAGTGGTCACAATGCATTATGGGCTCAGCGTGTCACGGCTAATGACAAGACAGGGCAAAGCACAGAATACAGTGCAAATTCCCTTTAAATACACATCCTATCGCTATCAAAGCTCACCCGCCGGAAACAAATTATGTCCAGCTGGGAAACAGACAATTCAATTTAACATGGAAACGTAATAGCTGTGATATATTTTGATGGGCTGGTATTTGATTTTAGTGGAACATGAGCGCTGTGAAAAACCACCGCTGACGAACAAAAGTCAAACTGCTGTACGTTTTGACTTCAAAGAGAATATTCAGTTCCCTATGCATTATTTTCAGAACTACCATGACAAGCTGTCTCAAAAATCACTTTAATATTAAATACCCTCTAAGACTTTTGAATAATAAATTAAGGTTGGCTGTGTGCATTTCATCATGAAATCATGGTTCTTGTATCATATAAACCATGGGTTTAAATGAATTGTGTCTTAAAACAATGTGGCTTTCTTACGTATGATTTCCTCATGTGCCCTTTTATTTTAACTTGTGTCTTTGACATTCACAGAGGAACATTATGTCTGGAGTTTGACACTAGAAGGCTGTTTTCCCATTCAGCTGCTGGGGGGTACGTTTAAAGTGGACCCTCTAACGCAGGGGTTCCCAAAGTGGGGGTCGCGAGATGATTACAAAATAAAAATGGAAAATAAAAAGATAATTTTTTTTTTTAAATGTTTTTTAATTATTATTAATAATAACGTTTGCATAGACATTTTCAGGGGCGGACTAGCCATCTGTATAATTCCCACTTTGACAATCCACTAGCGCAGTGTTTCTCAAACTTTTTCATACCAAGGACCACTTAACCAATAAAAAACACTCATGGACCACCTAACTACACAAATATCCAAAAACAATAGGCCTGCTTACCCATTCCAACAGTATATAACAAATTATAGCCTATTAATGACAGTAGTGATAGTAATAGTAGTAGTGAGACAATAATGACACTCCCGCGAGAGTGCGGAGAACTGAAATTAATTCACTAGCACCCCCCACCCCCCCCA